ACGTGGATGCCATTTTAAGCTGTAGGTTCTGGGGCTGTTTTCTCGCAGTGAGCACGGACCCACAGCCCTCCCCACAGCCCGGCAGTGGCTCACCAGGCTCAGCGCCTGCAACAGTTGCTGCAGTGCCTCGTGGGCCCTCTGCCTGGTCTTCTGAAGCTTGCCCAGTGAGTGCTGGTAGGCGTGCTGGCGCAGCCGCGCCGAGAGTGAGCCCAGGCGCACGAAGTAGGTCTGCTCCTGGCGCTGCTGCTGCACCGAGGCCACGTCCGCGCCCTCCACCGATGTGGCGATGCCGGCTGCAGGGGCAGAGGAGAGAACCCATCACATTCACACGCAGTCAGGGCAGCTCTGGCATCCCACCGCCAGGTGCACACCCTGGGCCTAGGGGCTCACAAGCAGACCTCGTGGTGCAAACGGCTAACTGCAAGTGCTCACGGATGGCTAACTGAAAGATTGGTGGTTCCAACTCAGTCTGTGGCCCCTCAGAAGAAAGGCCTGGAAATTAGGTCTCACATGGGTTCCAGCCTAAAAATCCTACAGGGCAGGTCCCCTCTTCACATGAGGTCGCTATTAGGTCCCCTAACAATAGAAATCGCTGCTCAGAAGGAATTTTTCTTTTGCTTTTCAAAGAGAGGAGTGAACTGGGAGGGGCGGGGGCAGGGCTGGGCAGGGAGAAAAGTGCAACACTGAATGAATGATAATCCAAAATCTCTGTAAGTGTTCATTAAAATTAATAAAATAAAATTTAAAAAAAGAAAGAAATCACTGCTCATAAGCTAGAAAGCCTTGGGTCTTGGTTTTTCCCATCCACAGACCAACAGTGATGAGAATGAAGCCACAGAGGGCTAAGAGGTCCCTGTGTGCAAAGTGGAGCTCTGGTAGCTTAGTGGTAGGGAGTTGCACTGCCAACCAAAAGGCATGCAGTTCAAATCCACCAGTCGCTCCATGGGAGAGGGATGGACAAATTCTTCCCGTGCGATTTACTGCCTCAGAAAAGCTGCTGGAGGGTCGGTTCTGACAGCACAGTACACAACAAAAATAACTAAAGTGCAAGGGACACTGGTGTTACAATGAATAGTGGCCAACCTTCCTCAATAGTCCAGGTGCTCCACATGCATCCTGGGTAAATCCTAATGCTCCTATGAGGGAGCACCGCTAGACTACCTTCCAGGTAAGGAAACCGGCTCAGAGAGGTTAAGCAAGCTGCCCAAGGTCACACAGCCAGGAAGCGGCCAGCCGGCATTCCAATTCAACTTTATGTCCCTTAACACAACATAGCAGATTTGGGGAGATTGTAGATTTTAGTGTTAAAACAGTGCAATAGGGGGAGCTCTGGTGGCCTAGTGGTAAGGAGCTGCAACTACAATTCCAGAGGCGCACGGTTCAAATCCACCAGATGCTCTGCCGGGGAAGGAGGGAAAATCTCCTCCTGTACCAGTCAGATCTGATTTGATGGTACACACACACAAAAATAATAAAAAATAAAAATTAAAAAAAACAAAACAGTGCAATAAAGCTAATATCACAACGAAGGCAGCCACCCAAGTCTGGTTTCGCAGCGCAGACAAGAGGCTTCCACAACACTGTCGTCTCTGAGGAGCGCTGGTGGTGGAGTTTAGGTGGGGGTGGCTGACCTTTTGGTTAGCCCACCACCTGGCCCATCTCAGGAGACAGACAGTCTTATCTTTAACTCTTTAAACCTCTAGAATTTACAGCCTTGGGCTGGGACTGGGTTTGGTCCATTAAGTGTGTGATAATATCAGGAAAAACCTGAAATACTGCTCATGAAAAGGCAGAATTATTGCGACCAGACAGGGCCTAACCCCGCAGCCTCGAGGCCATTCCAAATTCCAGAAACCCTACAGGACAGAGCAGGAACCCTAAAGGGTTTCCAAGACTGCAAATCCTTACGGGGGAGACCGTCCATCTGTCTCTCAACTGGTGGGTTTGAACTGCTGACCTTACAGTTAGAAAACCAATACTTAGGCTACAGCACCACTGTGGCTCCTTAGAACTGAACAGGCAAACTGAAAAATTGCCTATACTGATCATTTCACCCTATTATAAAAATAAACTCCTCCCAGAAAACGCATAATAGTTGTGAGTTTCAACTAGTCAGTAACCTGTTGTTGTTATTAGGTGTTGTTGAGTCAGAACTTACTCTTAGCTGACCCTCTGGTGGGTTTTCAGAGGCTGTCCATCCATAAGGGAGAAGACTGTCCGCCTTTCTCCCTCAGAGCAGCCAGTGGATTCGAACTGTCTGCCTTTGGGTTGGCAGCTCAACTCCTTACCACTAAACCACCAGCGCTCCCTTCAGTGACCTCATCTGGTTCAAATGTAGTGCTGTTAACTTTTCTGGCTCTATGGCTTTGGTTTTGTTTTTGTTTGTTTTATTTTATTATTTTCTGTGTGTGTACCATCAAATCAGATCTGACTGGTACAGAAGGAGATTGCCCTTCCTTCTCCAGCAGAGCCTCTGGTGGATTTGAACCGCGTACCTCTGTAATTGCAGTGCAGCTTCTTGCCACTAGGCCACCAGAGCTCCCTTATGGCTTTGTGTTTTTTGGTTTTGTTTTGTTTTTATGGCTTTGTTTTAAAGAATTTCTTTACATTTTTTTTAGTGTTGAGAAAATACAGAGCAATACCATGTACCAATCCAAGTTTCTCCACCTACGTTCTGTGACCCTGCTGACAGACCAGCTTCGAGCTGTGCACCATCTCATCCTCCTTTGCTGAGCTGTTCCTCCCCCATGAACATAAACCTCTGAGTTCCTGTCTAACGATTCACGTTTCTGCAGCCAACTGGATCCTCTCAGTTCTTAAAAAAGCACAATGCTCAAGACAGACAGTCTTTAAAGACAGTTTTAAGATTTACAGACAGTTTTAAGATTTCAGCATATATTTTTGGTTAGGGTTATCGCAGGGCAATTGTTTCAAGGGTTCGTTCAGCCTCTCTGGTTCCAGAAAGTCTGGATTCCATGAGAACACTGCCTTTTTTTTTTTATGAATAAAGTTTTATTGGCACATAGTCACATCCACTGCCTATTCTGGCCTGTGGCTGCTTTCATGCTTTAATGACAGTGTTGAGATACAAAAGGGCCTTTCCTCCCCTCCCTATAGGCTAACTAACGCCAAAGCTGTCAAATTGGTTTGGAGTCAAGGTGACCCTCCATCAACTTTCTGAGGTTGTAAATCTTTGCTGGAGCAAACAGCCTCCTGAGAGGGGCCTCACTCAGTGCTCCTGGTTGCCCTCTGGCTTCCACTAAGAGAACAGACTGTGTTGGGAGAAGACCAGCGTGGAGGCACGTCTAGGTGGACAATGACAGGGCTCAGAGGACATGACATAGGGTGTCTGGGAGAGGCCTCAAGCAAATAGTGGGAAGAAGGGACCCCTAAGGGCACTCACCCAGCTCCTCATCCGTCATGGGCAGGTGGTTGTCCATCCACTCCTCCGACCGGCCCAGCACTGTGTCAACCCCGCTCAGGACCATCTGACCCACGCGGGACTCCATGACAGAGTGGACGCTGCTGGTCACCACGGACTTGGTCTTGCCCACCCCACTTTGCACGGTGTCTCGGGTCTTGTCAACTGCCTCTGTCACTCGGTTGGCCACGGTGTCCCTGGCACTGGACACTGTGTTGGACACCATCTCACGGGCGCCTGACACTTTGGATGAGATGAGCTCCTTGGTGTCCTCCAGGACCTAGGGGACAGCAGCATTAGCCTCTCTACCCCCGGCTTGCACCCCCTACAGCCCTATTTCCAGGGAGAGGCGTTGCAGGTCCCACTGACCCCACAGGGCAGCTCTGAGTTCTCTGTCCCAGTTAACACGGGTGTTCAGGAGCCCGACGGCAGGGCCAGCCGCCTCTGTGTCTATCCCAGCAGTTCAGGGAGCCCTGTATATCAGGGTAGACCTACACCCTGTAAGGTCCCCAGAGCTGCATTTCAGAAGGAAGTCTCGGGTCTTTCTTCTATGGCACCTTCAGGTGCATCTGGGCCTCCACCTCCTGAGTGGCCAAGTTCACACTGACCAGGGACATCTCACACATCACCGTACTGAACAAGTACACGGGGCCATTGGCCACCACACTGGGCGGCAGAGTTCTGGAGCATGGGTTTCTGAGCATGGGGACACCATGGCCTCTTTTGCTCAGCACCAAATGCCATGCCTGAAATGCAGCAGCCACTTAGAGACGTCTGTTGACTGAATAATAAAAATAGCGATCTTGGGCTCTGGTGGCCTGATGGCAAGAAGCCATACTGCAATCCCAAAGGTATGTGGTACGAATCCACCAGATGCTCACCTGGAGAAGGAGGGGCAATCTCCTCCTGTACCAATCAGATCTGATTTGGTGGTACACACACACACACACACACACAAATAATAAAATTAACAAAAAGAATAAAAGAGAAAAAAAAAAGCGATCTTATCTCACATTTCTGGGCCTGTGACCCAGTTACCTAAACGGTTCATCTAATGCACCTGGTAATCCCAGGGCCTGGGAGGCTGAGGTCCGAGAGGCCATAGCCAGACAGCCCTGGGTTCAAATCCCAGGCTTGGAGACCCTGGGGACTCTAAATCTGAGGGTCACTGACCACAAAGGCACTGTCTGTGGACTCCTTTGCTGTGTAGCGAATGGCTCTCACAAACTTGTCAGGACACAGCCAGAGCAAAGAAAAATGAAGGAGATCTAAGCTGCACTGAGACAAATTAGCCCAAAAGACTAGTGGACCATGTGAGGTCCAACACCAGCAACCCTGAGACCAGAGGGACGGTGCCCAGCCACCACAATCAACCGCACTGAGAGGGGCCACAGAGGGAGGGCCAGCATAGAGTGGGAGAAACGCAGAGTACGAAACTCAAAACAGAAAAGAGTAGCCGCTCAGGGCAGGTAGGGACTTGGTGGAGTCCCCGACACCACAGCCTTTTATGCCTGAAATCCCCCAAGACTCAACTTTCAGCCAAACGTGAGAGGTAGGCAAGGTGACCGGTAACGGCAGGGAGAGGCCCACTCCTTATGGCAATCAACGCCGAGGGATTAAGGGTGGCACTTGCTTCAGCAGCCAGGGAAGGGCAGGAAAGAAGGATGGACGGAAGTGGGAAGCACAGGGAGGAAGCAGGAGTGCTGTTACATACGGTGTGTATGAACCTAAACTGTGCAACATTCTATAGCCTTTCACCAGCTCACAGGAAAGTTCTCTCCCTCTCTGTCTCTTTCTCTCTCTCCAGGTTTGCTACTTCCTTACTGTGTGGCCTCTGGTCATTGGTTTCTCTGCGTCCCCTCAAAGCCATGACTAGAGCAGCCCTTCGCTCCAGGATCAGGAAACAAGGGCCCCTTGCCCAGGACCCAGTCACTCCCTGGGAGTCTTAACCACAGCTGCGTGTACAGTCCATGTGCTTAATTAAGCCCCTGGGCCGATGAAGAAGGAAGAAGAGCGAAAAGGATGTCTTTGAACGGTGGAGCTGTCAGGCAGGCTGGCCGGGTCTCACGGACTGCCCAAAGAACAAACAAGGCCGCTGTGGAGGAAGGGCGACCAGGTGACCGTCAGAGGCGAGGACGGGAAGCTTTGTCTCACATGCTTGGGGCGAACTCTCAGGAGGGGCCAGTCCTCAGAAAGAGACGACGTGCTGGAAAAGGTGAAGGGTCAGGGAGGCCGAAGAGAGCCCTCGAGGAGATGGAGGGACACAGTGACTGCAACAATGGGCCCAAGCATGACAGACGTGAGGCTGGGGCAGGGGTGAGGTTTGGGGAAGGGTGAGGCTGGAGCAGGGGTGAGGTTCGGGCAGGGGTGAGTCTGGGGCACGGTTGACACTCAGGCAGGGGTGAGGTTTGGGCAGGGGTGAGGCTCGGGCAGGAGTGAGGTTCGGGCAGGGGTGAGGCTGGGGCAGGGTTGAGACTCAGGCAGGGGTGAGCTGGAGCAGGGGGTGAGGCTCGGGCAGGGATGAGGCTGGGGCAGGGGTGAGCAAGCCTAGGGGAGGGGTGAGGTTTGGGCAGGAGTAAGGTTCAGGCAGGGGTGAGGCTCGGACAGGGGTGAGGTTCGGGCAGGGGTGAGGTTGGGGCAATGTTGAGACTCAGGCAGGAGTGAAGCTGGA